AAAATCGAAAAATGAAAAATTGCAAAGCGAAATGTTGAAGAAACAAAAAACTGAAAAAGTTGGAAGTTGGAAAAATGAAAAAATTAAAGTCGAAAAAACGAAAAATTAATCCGTTATCAATTTTTTTGGATGGCGATAACGAATAAATTTTGATTAACAATTTACGATGTTTAATGTTGGTTAGCGTTTAACCATCATGAAACGTCGAGAAAACATAGAAGTGGAAAGTCGCCCAATTCAACTCCAGTACTGTTTTCTAAATTTTCTAAATAAAGCAACAAACATTTTCATAAAATTTTCCGACATTTTTTTACAACACAGGATTACTGTCAATACATATACAACTATGATTTTTATCATATTTCCAGTCGATAACTAATGTTTACATTGCAACATACTTAAGACTACTGTTGCCAAGGAAATATTTCGAAAACTTTGCAAGTCAGTATGACACAAATTTAATCATCATCACACAAAAAATCGCCATAATTTTTTACGAAAAATGAACCTATTTACGTAAAGTGGTCCCAGAAATATTTCAAAGTGAGTTAATCTCTTTTATTGCTCTCACAATGCAACATGAATACCCTTCCCATCATAACGTTATTTAATCAACTGATTAATTCTCCTGGAGCAAGATCTGTTCAGATTGAACAAGATTCGTCATAATTCGATGATGATACTACACTAGAGGAGTGGCTTGCATACAAGTTACCGCCCACTTTTTTACTATTGTTGTGTAAATCATTCACTAAAGATCACTATCAATGAAAACGATAGACCATCTGCATACATCAACAAACCAAATGATAAAATTCTGCGCAGTTCCATTACTCCTTCGAAAAGCTTTTTCTAAAAACTAACAAAATCCTACATTTGCATATCAGCATTAAGCCGCTCGTACAAAAGGATTTTTCTAAAAAACTACCAAAATCTGCGTATCGTCATTAACCGACTCGCTAAATTTCAGCTTGTGCGTAGCTTGCTTCCATTTTTTTATACACAAAATTAATTACGTCAATTTAAAAACGACGGCACTCACAAAAGGTATTATCTGTTCCGCTTCACGTTGTTGATTTCGACTTATCGAAATTGGATCACCATATAAAAATAACTAAACAATAACCATTAATCCAAAATAATCAGAGTAAACAGGACTTCATGTTGTTGGAGTATTACGAACGACGCCAAACACGTAAATTTTATAATAACCATACCGAACGGAAAATTTATTCTCCACATTTTATAAATAAATCAAAGCGAGGTGCTTCGAATTCAAGTAAAATCAATATGTAGTTACAATAAAAGTTTAAGAGAGAAAATATCAAAATTAGTTTCCACGTAGGTGGTAGCTTCGTATTTTATTACAACCATTGCGAAAATCGTTAAGGTAATATAAAGTTTATTGACTACAGGAAATTAAGCCACATCTGTTATAAAATATATTATTATATATAAGCGCAACTGAATATCGAACGGTTGTGTAAATGGTGAGGAGATATATCTCATCCTTTACAAAAATGATCCAGTAGCCTTTTTATACAGGTTATACAATTATCCCTTGAAAAAGCAAATTTCAAACTATATTCATTTTAAAGATCCACCAACATCGCAATTTACTGAGAAAAAGGACGTGCAGCGCTCTAAAATTACGCAAATTTAACTTTCCCAAATGAAATGAATAATTTGTCGACTCTCAGTTATGTATTTTATTAAGTTTTTCTTCATCCTGTCGAAAAATAAAGCATTATTATTATGATTATTATCAAACTGGAGAAGTATTTAAAGTAAAAAGTGGGGTTAGGGTTCGTCATTACATGTCACTTTGATATGACAAACACATGACGCTCGTTTTCGCTCTAAAAAACAAACAATGCGGAAAAAATCGAGTGGATGTTATTTATTTCAATATTGTTTGTTGCTTGTCTGTCATTACACACATCGTAATGAGGGCATGACCTATAGTATCAGCAAAAACTTAAGGGGTCTAATTTAACAACTTGTACTCTCTTTTTTCCGCAATATTAAAATTAATGAAACGATAATCCAGTACAAAAATAACTCAAATTCTTCGCTAATGTGTACTCTCACCTTTGACACATGCCGTACATAGTTTCACTGTTTTGCAACATTCTATTGGTTATTAACAAATGCCCTCTTCTTAAAAGTCCCCTACACACTAAACATTGCGTGTATTTTTAAGTACTGTTCACACGGCAAATGCGAGCACTAAAATCATCCAATGAATGAGGAAATAAAGATCGACCTGGGAAAAATCTGGCAATAGTTAGCGGAAGTGAACGGAGATAATGATTATTTGGCGTAAAAGCGCTGGTCATCTTGGTGTTTCTGATAAAAACACGCAAGTAATTAGACAAATGACTGAAGAAAAAATTGGTAACAATGCGTCCGTGAAATAAAATTAAGTCTTCGCTGTGGAAACGGCGAATAAATCGGTTTAGGAGTCGGTTTACTATTTATCTTTAAAAATGCTGACTAATTTATTAGCATAGTGACGTAACTTGTACAAGCATATGTAAATGATTGTTATGTATTTATTATAATTTTTGTAGAATTATACATTAATGCCAGAGGATAGAGTGGCTGCTGCACATCAGGTTTTAAAAACAATCGGGAGCCGTTATTTTAAAAATGAAATATAAACAAACAAGCGATTTACATAAGCGGAAAAATGTCGTTATCTTTTGTAAAGTCATTTTACAAGTGATTACACTCGAATATATTGGTACTTATCTGTTCCATGTACGATCTAGAAAAAAACATTATTTGAACTTTCACTCCGTAGTTGAGACCTAAATAAGACGTCAGTTTCTCCTAATTGTCGCCCAAAATTGTTGTGAATTGTTTAAATAAACGGTCCGGGGGAGTGGAAATTAACATAAACATTGCATAGAGAAAAAACAAGGACATAACCTCTAAAGTGATGTGTCAGATGACTTACCACTTTGGTATTTTAATTTAACGGTTTTGCGATGTGAATTTGGCACGTTAAAAGCGCTTTTCTTCGGCCACACAAACACTAATTTTGACAATGTTTATTATTAAACATTTGACATTTTAATAACCGCACAAAATGACAGAGACACTCTGAGTCTGACATTATTGCTCACAGATTCGAGATTACAGTTGACGCATGCAAAAGTTACACAATTTGTTTCATAATAAACGCCCACGGCGCAGGCAACACAAAATACGCAAGCCATAAAGTTCAGACAACGCGCAAGATTTTTCTTGCTTTATTTCTCATTGCATTAGTATGTATAAGCATTCAAAATAAAAACACTTTTATTGCGAGCGCTTTAAAATTTGATGGTAAAACAATACACCGGATGTCTTAAATTTCATTTAATGGAGGTTAATATCTTGTTTACTGTTGATGATATTGATATATCTACCGAGAGAGCAATAAAAAACACGATCCAAGACAGCCACGTCTTGTCAAATTACCGTCAATTGGAAAGTGAGGTGAAAATGCGACGATCAAAGACAAACCTTCAAAAATCCATAGCTGTCTTTGATCAGTGATCATGTTATTTATTTTTCTGTGAATATAAAACATTAATATTAACCTAATGAATATACTGTTGCTTCCACTACCTTTATTTTCAAATGCTAACCAAATATTCCCTATTGAAAATTAATATTTTGTAAATTTTTAAAACCGAAATAATCATTTGTCATCATGCCAAATTTTATGCCATAGGTTTGTTTACGTAAGAATAACTGGATATCAAATTTGACAAAAAAATGTATTCAAAATATAGATACTAAAAATATTTAGAACAAAAGAAATTATATTCACAAGATTAATCAGACACCTATGAATTCGTTCCTTATAGACATACAGGTATGTACCGAGAGACTATTAAGGTCGATTTATAAACTTGTCGCTGACGTTACTGTTCGCCGTTAACGTTGCCGTTGTAAGATAAATACGCAGCGAAGATATGCGTCGTTTATATCATCCGTTGACGTTGCCGTTGAAAATGTTGAAAGTTGGTACGCCGTACTAAGTACATACGTACACTAAGAAAAAAATAAAGCCAAAGATTAGGTCCCACCCATACCCACTCCGATCTTAATTCTCAATTGTGATGAATTTTTCATTCGTTGTCAGATCGAGGGGCGGGGCTTAATTGGAAGATCCATATTTGTCTACAAGAATTTACCATTGTAAACATGTTTTAAGTTTCTTGTGCTGAAAAGACGACTACGTATATTAAGAAAAAAGGCAAGATATAAGCCCCGCCCACCTGCCCTATTTATTTTAATCGTCGAGAACCAAAGGAGCGGAATCTAAAAGCAAAACCCTTATTATTTCTCTACAAGAAATTACCGCGTAATGATGATTTGGAGTATCGTGTTATTCAAAAAGTACTATGTGATGTATATTAAGAAAAAATTAAAGCCAAAAATTAAGTCCCACCCATACCTGACCTGATCTAAATAGTAATGAAGTTTTCTTAACTGGCAGATTTAGGAAAAAAATCCATATTTCCTTACAAAAATTTACTATTTTAAACGTCCCCAGTAGCAAGCAATATTTTTCTAATATTTATACAAGATTGATATAATATTAAATGTTGACTAGATATTACAAATATTTATATAATATTCATTTTATATTTATAAATTTATATATGAATTTCAACATATATTACATATTTATGAAATGTCTTTTTATCAAGATACCGAACAACAAAAATGAAAAAAAAAGTACCATGTTGGGACAACTTGTAGGTAATTTATTTCATAGGGTTTTTATTGGAGCAATATTAAAAATTGATTTGAAAAAATACCAGCTATTGTGAAATTGACACTATTCGAAATCTCGCTTTGCACACTATTAATTGCTCATTAAAAAGTAATATTTTTTTTATTTTTGCGAACAAAAAATAATTTTATTTATCATTTTTATAAAACTTACTTAAATTTGCGTTTTACCTACAGATGCGCTTACTCTACTGGAACGCGTTTGCGCAATGTGCAAGATATATATATTTTCTGTTATTGTTGGTGGTTCAAAAAGTATTTTGTGTAAGTTCATGGTGTTTGTCCTATTGTGAATTGTGATTATCGGTACTGCGATAAATTCAGAATAGTGTAGTAAATACCGTTTTGTCAAGAAAACAGTACTAAACCTACATAACCTCACTTCTACATGCAATGCAGAAAATGCAATTTCTCAACACGTAGTATATTTAAGAGGTTTAATATTTCTGAATATAAGCATATTATGAATGTAGAGACAAAATGATGAATGTCCGGGCGCAACCAAAAAAAAAAGATTGCGGGAGATACGTAGAAATTGGATGAATTGGTAAGCATTTATTATTATTATTATTAACTCATAGTATTTATAAACTAGTTTCAGACTGATAATAATGTTTATTTGTCAGGAAGAGAAGACGTAAAAAAACATGTACGCAATTTTGAAGAAATTATTAATAATGAACCAAATTGTTTTCAAGTTTTCAGGGCAAGGAAAAAAATAAGCTCTCTTTTAGTGAACTCACAATTAACAAGGCTACAATATGTAAAGTTATGTGATTTCTTAAAAAATCCGAACTTTGTAAGTTAATTTAATTGTAGGTACCACACGGAAACGTCACAAAAATGCCACAACTACTGAAATTTAAAAAATGGTAGGACCGCATTAAGCGCAGACAAAAGCAAGAATGAATTCTCATCGAAAAAACATGAGGTATGATTTTTTTTATTTTAATTAATTATATCGCTTTTCAATGAATTGGTTATAGAGCAAATAATTATTAAATAAATATTTCTGTATAACGATTGAAATGTAGCAGAACATTGTTAATTCCATTGCCAATGTATTTTTATGTTTAAAAAATTTATATTGTGTTTCACATCAGGTGATTTTTTTAAATTTATGCTCTGGTTGCCCATGAAGCTTATGTCAGCAGTTTCAGTTTCACTGCTGACATAAGTGTCATGAGTAACTACAGCAGAAATTAAAAAAAAAATCACCTGGTACAAATTTTCAGCGAATTGGTTCTAGGACAAATAATTTTTAAATGTATAAATATTGCCGCAACGTTTCAAATACACTGTTATTTCCAGTGACAATGTATTTTTGTGTTTAATAAATTTTATATTGTATTCCATACAAGTTTTTTTATATCCATACCCCCTTTCATATGAAGAACATTTATTAAATGTTCTGAACTAAATAAGTATTAAACATTGAAAATAAATATATATTCAATATTTAAAACCAATATTGATTTTCTAAAAAAAAATCTGTCGTTACCCATATTATTTAAATGTTAGAACTTCAATATTTATTACATATAAAATGTTACTGGGGGTGTTTCAAGTTTCTAAGAATAAAAAAAAATCATCGCAGTGGAGATGGGGTGAGTGGGCGGGGTTTATGTTTTGCCTTATTTTCTTTATATGTTGATATTTATTCTTTGAACAACACGATACGCAAAAACATGTTTTTAAATTCTTGTAAAGAAATAAGTATTTTGCAGTTAAACTCTGCCCCCTTGGTTCACAGCGAATAAAAAAAATCATCACAATTGAGATAGGGCGGGTGGGGGGGGGCTTACATTTTGCCTTTTTGTTTTAATATTTGTAGACTTCTTTTGACAACATGAAACTTAAAACATGTTTAAAATGGAAAATTTGTAAAAGGAAATATCGATTTTGCAATTAGGCTCCCCCCTATGATTTCAAAATCCAAAAAATGCACCCTTTTAACCATGTTCTAAGTTTCTTTTTGTGAAAAGATAGCTCTTATGAAGAAAAAAAAAATAGGGAAAATATAAGCCCCGCCCATCCGCTCTGTACCTCAATTCCGATGATTTTTTTTATTCATCGTAAGCCGAGGGGCGGAGCTTAATTGTGAGATCCTTATTTTTCTACAAGAAATTACCATGTGAAATATGTTCTTAAGCTCAAGTAATCGTGTTATATAAAGAAAACTAATTAATGTATTAATTAAAAAAGAAAACTAAAAGAGAAGCCCCACCCATCCGTCTCGATCTCAATCGTGATGAATTTTTCTTCGTTGTCAGACCAAGGAGCGGAGCGTAACTGCAAAAGCCATATTTCCCTATATAAATTTTCCACATGTTTTAAGTTTCATGTTATGAAAAGAAGTCTGCACATATTAAACCAAAAAGGCAAAATGTAAACCCACCCACCCACCCTATCTCAATTGTGATGATTTTTTTTATTCGCCGTGAACCAAGGGGTGGAGCTTAACTGCAAAATACTTATTACTTTACACGAAATGAAACACATGTTTTTGAGTATCGTGTTGTTCAAAGAATACTATGTATATCAACAAAAAAATGCAAATTATAAACCCCGCCCACCCACCCCATCTCAATTGTAATGATTTTTTTTACGGAAAACCCGTTTAAAATGGTAAAATTTCTAAAAAAATATGGATTTTGCAATTAGGTTCCGGCCCCACGGCTGCCAACGAATAAAAGCTCCATTATTACAGATATGGGTGGAGCTTAATCTTTGGCTTTAATGTTTTCTTAATATAGATAGTATTCTTTAAACAATACGATACCCAAAAACATGTTTTTAATTTCTCGTAGAGAAATAAGGATTTTGCAGTTAAGCTCCGCTTTCTTAGCTCACGATGAATAAAAAAAATCATCAGAATTGAGATAGGGTGGGTGGGCGGAGCTACATTTTGCCTTTCTTTCTTAATATGTGTAGACTTATTTCGACAACAAGAAACTTAAAACATATCTAAAATGGTAAACTTTGGTAGAAATCAACTTAAATCCTCCACTTTTCTTCTACAACCCGTTCAAATACGGTTGAACATCAAAATTATTAGCAACGCAACTTGGCAACGGAGTTTATAAATGACAATTTTCAGCCTACCTGATTGTTAAATAGTAATTTACACAACTAGTTCGGGATAGCCTGCTTCCCGCATGAACGCTTGTTTGCGGCACGACCGAAGGGAGTGCTGCATTTGCGTGAATGCGGGAAGCAGGCTCACGAACGTGTTGTGTACAATATTTTTTGCAACGAATAAACCTTTAAACTGAAGAAATTAACTGTGAGTTATTTATAAACAATGGCGCCGTCAACACATCACAATGTTGACACTACGCGAGTATTTTAAGGTTACCATGGCAACGGGAAGTTAAAATGCACGTGTGCGGGAAGTTCGAACTCCCGCACCCTGGTGAATGCACGAAAGCCATCAAAAAAGATCATGAGTGCAAAAATGATATTTACGACAGCTGCTATCGCCTCCACCAATCAACACGTGTGTTAGACGTGCTCATGTCAAAACTAACAACTGTGAAATGACCGTGGAGGAAACAAATAATAAAACATAATAAATGACTGACAGAAACAATTTGTAATTAATCTTTTACGTCTTATTATTCGTATATTTTTATTGTAAATAAACGTGGCATTTATATTTCTTTAACAATCAATGATTACTAAAAAATTGTAGTTCATGATAGTTAAAATTCTATTTACAGAGTTTAGCTAGTTTTGGGCAAATCTCAGTTAGTTGCTTTCACCTGCTTGAAAAAATATATCTGAGTTATCAAACTTTACTTAAGATAAAAGGGGATCAAAATTTTGTCCATTCATTCCCTGCAAAAAACTGATTACGTCATCTCAATTTAAATATGCAGATAATAATCTTCCAAAGATGATAAATAAATTTGGATTACAGAATATGATAGTTGGTCTTGGAGATTACATAGAACTGATTTTGAAATTTTGGCAAATTTAAATTAAACAATAATATTAGCTAAAATTTATTTATTCTTCATTATTTTGTCGCACGAAAAAGTTAACCCAATTTTTTTGAAATATTGGAAACTTGAAAATATTGGTTCCCCTAATTATTTGATTATTAAAGTAAAACATTCAAACAAAAACACCTTATGGTATTGAAATAAAAAAATATATATCGGGATTTACGATAAGATAACATAGCATTAGCTATGAAACATAACAATTTATTAACAGTTCATTAATTTGTAGTAAGTATGTAGAAAAAATTGAAGCTTCTTGAACGAAAAATAAGAATAATAATGAATTTTATTAGATTGACACATGTCACAGCTAGTAGGTATTATTTTATCACAAACTTTGAATTCTTTTTTTCTTTTTATTGCGGTACCACAAGATGATACAAAAAGAATAAAGAATGATTTAGATACAGTTTTTTATTCTCTATAACTTCTATATTTAACGTGTTGACCTAAAATAATTAGGGGAGCCAATATTTTTCAAATTTGTTTTTACATGTAAAATCCCTGTTCTAAGAAAGATTCTCCATCCGGTCTGTACATACGCTGTTACTGTACATAACAAGTATAACGGGAATCGTGATGATAAATTAAAATTTTTATCACACTATTACACCTTTTTTTTTGTTTAAAAACAATTTATGAATACTAACTGTCAAAATCAAAAACTCCCGCGCATAATTTACCCCTCGGCCATGTTGTGAATGTGACGCTCATCTAAAGTCAACGTCAAAAAACCAACAAAACATTATAAAAAGCAACAACCAAAATCAAATTTGATACACTAGAAATCCTCATTAACAACAACATATTTTTATACGTGCGATAAAATCCAGGATCGTAAATTTGCTTCAAGATTTTGATACAAAGTGAGGTTATGTCCGAATATTATTAAACAAACGGAGCAACAATGATACCCCCAGTGACACCCGGCCAGGCCGAAGAAAAGCACAACATGGTCAGTTGGGTAAGTAACCCATCGTCCGTAATTTCACGAATAAGAGTCTGCATTCCAGAAAAACACCTTCAGTATGAGACAAATAAGCTTGATGAACTTGGCTGCTTCACAATTAGGAGTAAAAAACGGCAGCCGATCAATAATCCCCAATTACAGACGAACGTACAGTATTACAAGTCCCGCCAAATCTTTAGACCTTCTCAGAAAGAATCTTCAAAGTGCCATTAACAAGGATATCGACAACGTTATCAAAAAATATTTGGAGGTGTGTTTGCGTTGTTGTAGTTGCGTTTAACGCATTGATGTGGATTTGTTCTAGAAATTTTTTCAACCTGCCATTAACAATATAAAGATTAATTTGGGGAAGGATAGCGTGAGTGAAGACCATATAAGAGAAGTGTGTAAGCAAATGCTTGAGGATGCTAAGTTAATGTATAAAATCTCTCCTGGCTCTCGGGATAGCTCCCCTTATGAATATAGCGACTCTGAAGCCAGTACTACAGATGGGAGGAGTGGGCATACCGTACGGTTGCGACACATAATGTAGGTCACTTTTAATTTACTAATTTTAGAGCCCCCTTCACAGAAAAAGGAAAGAATCAGATACTGAGTCTGAAACAAATGGAAAGCGCCACAAGACACAATTTTGTTACATGATGGATGGTGGGAAGTACAAAGCACCAATAAAGAGGGAGGGAGTAAAGTGGAACCCTGAAAGAATTACAGAAAATACTTTATTTATAATGGGGCCGCGCGCTAACAAAGTTTTAGGTTATGGCCAAACCAGGGGGCGCCTTTACGCTCGTCACCCCGACCTAGTCCGCTATTCTGGTGATCAAGAAGACAAAGAGTGGTTATTGACGCGGAATTTGATGCCACCTAGTGGCGGTAAAGCATATCTAATGATTTTAGATGATATCAAAGAGTTAGCAGAGAGTGATGAATATAAAAACAACCCTAATTTACAGCTGCATGAATTGAAAGGATTTCCAGCACCTCATTTTCTACTCAACAAAATAAGATTATTTTTACACAACTGTAAGACTGACAAGAAGCCTTTGATGGGTTTGGATTTGTTTGATTTTCGGAGTCAGTCAATAACGCCGCCTAATACTACTATAGATTCTGGACCGTCCACACCTTCTGATACTGTACAGATGGAAAGCCAACCAGGAAGTACTAGCTCTAAGCAATCAGATAATAACTTTGCTAATATACCAGAGATGAGTCCAAACTCCAACCACTCAATTATTTCAACTCAAAGTCCTATTCAAAATTCAGGGTTGCTCTCTCCTAACATGCTAATGGCGCTCGCGAACAACGCAGATGGGAACGGGGCTGTTATGATTCTTAAGGAGAATACTCAGAATGACAGCAGTTTGTCTAGTATTCTGGCAAGCCACATAAACAGTGATAATTCGCAGGATTTTTAGCCCCGTTTTAAATGTTAGATATTTATTTTTGTATTTGCTTTTAATTTATTTTGTTGAATGCATGTAATGTGTTTTACAATAAAGAGCAAATGAAGTTGTCTTTCTAATGAGAGTTGGCACTGTTGGCAGTAACTTTGGTGGTGTTTGGCCGTTGATCAATTTTTTTCGTAGTGAGTGTGACGCCGGGGCTAATTACTGTAACAGGTGAAAGAACCAACGGTATAAATTCACGTACAAATTTTGGAATGTTTTTATGTATTCCTTGTAAATACTACCGCAATGAGCAGAAAGCACACATTTAATTAAATAAACAACGAAATTCTTCATTTTTAGATTTTGTGGGTGAGCTCGCATCACCTATGCTAGGTAAACATAGTGGGCTGTGTACAATTCACGACAGGTAAAATTCAAAAAACTGTGACGTAGTACAATGGCGGTTCTTCGTTTAATGTTTGTGTTTAAAAATTTAACTTTTCGGTGAAAATAGTGTTGGTTCTTTGTTTTTTCTTTAAAATAAAAGGTATTCATAATGTAAAAGTGATGTGAAAACGTGTACTTTTGGTTGTTGCAAAAATTAAAGTATCTAAATTGTGATTAACAGAGTCTTCACCATTCGTTCTACAAAGTTGCCTCATTAACAAATTAGCGTTTATAATGACTATGAAAAGAACATTCAGGTAAGTGGGCCGATAATTTACGACAGCGAATACAACAATTATTATTTAATAGACGGTATTGAAAGTTAAATGTTTTTGAAAACTTTTCAACTAGCCACTAAGTAGATATAACATAAAATTTGTCAAATTAACATTATTTATGAATGTTTTTACCTTGGATCTCTGTTTCTCTTCATTTCACACCGCAAAATTAAAGCAGTAACACAAACTTGATGGAGAAACCTTTTTAAATCGTGAAAATAGTTGTTTAATTTTGTTGCTAAGACTATGGATTTTGTCAATACAATGCAATGCTAACTAGATGCTTACTTTAGGTTGGATCGTTGCTATAATCAAGATTATAGGAGTAATTAATTAAATTTTTTCCCTCGAGTAAATAAAATGTAGATCTTCAGTTTCTGTCTGTCGTCTATCTGTGACGATTTTTATTACACTTTCCGAAATTACTAGACCGATTGTTACCAAATTTTATGTGTATGTTAGGCATACCGTGCAGATGGTAAAACACTAATCAAAATTTCTTTAATAACACTAGTTTACAAATTTAAACTTTTTTTCATATCCAAGAATAAAAAAAATATTTTTTACTTCTAAATTACTTACTGATAACAAATCCAAAAACGGATAATCCTTATCACGTCAGGTTTTTTCATAAATCCAAAATAATGAACTTTGCTTTTACCTTCACGTTAAGTTAAACTGATTCGTGTAAATGCACCATTGTCGCATAAAAAATGTCTTTGAGATCGTGCAAAGTAAGTGCAAATCAGTTTTGTTACGTTTGTGGTAAAATTGTAGTACCTAAAGCGGGAAGACATGTTTAAATATGCTTAAGAGGAAGGTATCAAGGATTTTGGGACGAAAATGTGTCACTGTTGGTCTATTATAAGGGAAACTGACAGAAGTACAGAACTGTCAATAAAAGAAACTCCAGTGTTAATCATTTTTAATTTTCAGTCATAATGTTTATAATATATACTGGGTGTTGTTGTTTATTTGATACAACCCCTGTAACTTCTTTATTCTTAAAGATAAACCTGTATTTCTTTGAGCAAATTTGTATAATTTTAGAAGATCTTTGTGAGGCCAACCTCACATTTTTATTATCACTTCCCGTAGAAAAATCAAAAGCAACCAATTATTCTAAAATCAATACTTGAAAAATTTTAAATAAAACATTGATGACAACCTAGTAGCTTGAAAAATTGACACTCATGTTATTTATTTACATAAATGATCCATTTTAAATTTGCTCAAAGACCTATATGTTCCTATATATTTAAAAATAAAAAAGTTACAAGAGTTGTATAAAAGAAGAGAAATACGGGGCATATTTATATAAATATCTCAAAAACCTGACGTGATGGATTTTTTCTGCTTTGAGATTTGAATTTTCCGAAAATCCTTTAGATTCAACTATTTTTGTCTTTGGATATAAAACCTTGTAAACTAGTGTAATTGTTCCCACCAACCCACAGTGTTGGGGACAGATACTTTTAAAAGTATCTAGATACAGATACAGATATATGGAAGATAAAAGTATCTTGATACAGATTGTTTTCGATTTTTTTGAAATGTACCTATCTAAAAGAAAACAGATACTTTTTGAAGCTTTGGCGAATAAAATAACTGAAAACATGTTTATGTATTTTTTTGTGTATTGTTTAATGAATTTTTTAAAATTGACAACATTTCGAACGTATTGTCACCTAAATTATTTCTTCCTGGTGTCAGAATTTGGTTTCCGCTACTAAACACCCGTTCCACAGGTGCAGAAGAAGGGATTGTGGTATTAAGTTTAAAAAATAAACATTTTACTGTAGCATAGTTATTCAAGACTGAAAAATCTTTTTTGTTTTCCTGCAAACAGGCCATGGCTTCGCTGTTTGATGTGTCGCAAATTGTGCAATATTTATTACGTACGCTTAAAAACAATATTTTTACTTCCCAAGCGTAAGCAAAGGAAGTATTGTAATCGAGTCCGTCGGCCGACTCTCTACTTTTACGTTTTCTCGATCTTTCATGACCCCTAGAAGACGAAGAAATAGGTCTCCCATTTCCGTCTGTCTGTCCGTCTGTCCGTCTGTCCGTCTGCCGTCCCGGATTTTTATTAGACAGATAATCTCCGAAAGTACTCGACCGATTGTTGTGAAATTTTGTACTTATATTAAGAATATCATGTAGATGGTAAAACGCTAACCAAAATTTGTCTAATCATCCCCACCACTAATACGATGACGTCACTTCAAAATTGTACATAGTAAATGGGTTTTCAATTGTATAAAATAACATAGTCCTACACATGTAGTTTACAACTCCGAATTGACTTTTCACGCGAAACGTCCAGATTTTTGGAAAAAAAATCAAAATCATAAAACAACATTTTGAAATTTAATTTTTAATCTGCCAACCAGAATGCTTTGAAATGTTGCAAATGTTTTAAGGCTATAAAGAGCATCATAAATCTTTAGTCAAAAAATATTTGCTTATCCCCTCCAAAAACTTGATGACGTCAGCTCAAAAGTTTGTGGAATAAATCATATCTAAAATGTACAAAATATGATGAGTCTGTACTTGTGATCTATCACTCCATTCATATTTTTTGGATTTGCATATACCTACAGGGTGACTCAAAAAAATTAATGAATGCGTAAATTTATTTTACTGATTTACTCAGAAACTACAAAACCGAATGCTTTGAAATCTTGCAGATGTTTTAAGGTTATAAAGAGCATAATAAATGTTTAGTCAAAATACATTTGCTTATCCCCTCCAAAAAATTGATGACGTCAGCTCGAAAGTTTGCCGAATAAATCCTATCTAAACTGTACAAAATATGATGAGTCTGTACTTGTGATTTATCACTCCATTGATTTTTTTTTGGATTTGCATATACAGGGTGACTCAAAAAAATTAATGAATGCGTAAATTTATTTTATTGATTTACTCAGGAACTACAAAACCGAATTCTTTGAAATCCACTGCGAAAAAAAACATAATAGGCATGCAGTCGTCACGTTTCCGACAGCGAGGGAAGTACTGTCTAAACTCTTTAGACCAATTTTTTTTGTTTTTATTCCCATACTACAGTGTCCAAATTGTGTTTGAGTATATCTAATAATTAACTCCAGCATTAAAATTAATATTTCAAAAGGAAACGGGAAATGATTATTCTGTGCTGAATGTCTGTTGTTGGCAACCTGTCATAAATTATTATTTTTCAGTATCGACTTACGATGTTTTTATGACCATGTCCCGTAATCGTCTATCCCGGTGCGGCAGGTATATACATTTTAGGAAGAATTGCTGGTTCCGTTTAAGGCAAAATAAGTACAATTTCTTAGAAAGGTATTTAAACCCCTTATAGGATCAAAGGCTAGTTGGCAGGTCGGAATCACCAGAGTGCAACTTTAAATTTTCCGTTTTTTGTTGAAACTCATTTTATTTTAATCTCGTTTCACGATTTCTGAGAATATATCACGATAAATTATTCTACCGAGGGTTGTAAAAATGTTAATGTTATTGCCCAAGATTTACACTTAAACATAATCAGCACATTCTAGGGCAAAACGGACCTGCCAAGCCCGCCTCGCGTTAGGTCCAACAATGAAAAAGTGAAGAAATGACACATGTCGCAACAGGAAAGATACAAAAGGAAGGTATAAAACAGTAACAAAAATGCGATTTATGCGAAAGAAATGTATGTATTGAACATTCGATTAGTCGATTACAGAACTAATTTGTGCTAATTGAAAAAATTAATCATTATGTAACACGCAATTATTATTTTCTAAAAATAATAACATACCTTAAACAAATATTTTTACTATTAAAATTACTCTTATTTAATAACACAAATACAACCAGCGGGCCTACCGGACCCGGGTTGCTCAGGTACACAGATAAAATGCATTGCCCCGATAAGCGTAAAACGTAGTGAATAATGAATTGTGGTTTATGGTTTTTAAAATACCGTCTTACCATGGCTTAGATTTATTACCCCTCAGGATTATATTTAAAGATGTATAAGTACTGAAGGCTACAATGTAGGAAATGATGGTATTTAAAATATGAAAATTTCCGTGACAGAACACTATTAGTGGACCTCTTCCCTCTATTTTTGTTTATGTGACCAAAATTACCAACATGAAGTATAAAAAATTACTACTAGTATAACTCAACTAATAACTAGTGAAAAAAAAGTGAAATAAAAAAATGTATCTGTATCTGCGCCATTAATTTTGTATGTAGATACAGATATTTTGTGCTTTAATTCGATTGTATCTAGATACAGATACTAGATACCCAAAAATGTACTTTATTTAGATACAAATATCTAGATACTGCCCAACACTGTCAATTAGGTAGGTAATCCAGTAAATTCAGCATTAAAAACGAACAAACGTGCATTTAAGGTAGGCAGGAATTTC